AAACACTTTAATTCCATTTTTACATTTTCTCATAATTTTTTCCTTTTCTTTTATTCCCCCTTCCCTATCCTTCTCACTGTCCCTACACCTTTGGTCCTTTTCTTCCTATTTCACATTGCTAATTGCCCCGTTAGGATCTTGAGTACTATTTTAGTTTTTCACACCAGAGAAGCTATTCAGTATTTGCATATGTGTGACTTATTTATTTCACTTAGGAGTATATCCTCAAAATGAACTCATTTAACTATGAATGAATCTACTTTCTCATTCTTTATGGCTGAGTAGTATTCCATTTTATAGAAAAACCACATCTTCTTTATCCAGTTTCCAATTGATTACATTCTTTATGAGGAGTTGGTAGATGTACATGACACATCTTACTTCTTTCTTTTCTTTTCTTTTCTTTTTTTTTTTATTTCTTCCCCTCTCTTCCCTCCCCATAACTCCATCTCTTGGTCCTTTTCCCTTTTGCAGAAGACATATTTCCCTAATTCCTCTTATCTTTTATTTTGCTCTTTATTTATATTTGGGCTTCTCATATAAGAGAAACCATATGATATTTAAGTTTGTGTATCTGACATTTCACTTAAGAGTGTGTTCTCAAGGTGCATCCATTCTTCTACAAAGGACTTGACTATATGGTAGAGTAGGTACTCTACTGTGTATAAATGTCACACTTTCTTTATTCATTCATCTGTTGATGGACGTAGAGGCTGCTTCCAAGATTTAGCTATTGAGTTGTGCTGCTAAATATGAATATTCATGTATCACTGTAATATGATGACTTTAACTCTTAGAAGGGGAATAGCTGGCTCATATGAATTTTCTAGTTTTAGGTTTTTTTTTTTTTTTTTGCGAGAATCTCCACACTGATTTCCATGATAGTTGTACTAGTTTAAAATCTCACCAACAATGTAGAAGCATTCTTTTTACCCCAAAGTACTGCCAGCCTTTGTTATTCGATTTCAGGATGATAGCCATTCTTTCTGGAGTAGGGTGGAATCTCAGTGTTGTTTTACTTTGCATTTCTCTAATGGCAAGTGAGGTTGAACATTTTTTACATATATCTATTGGCCATTCGTAGTTCTTCCTCTGAGAAGTGTCTATTCATTTCAGTTGTCCATCTTTTGATTGGGTGTTTAATTTAGGAGGGTGTGATGCTTTGAGTTCTTTATATATTCTAGATATTAGTCTTCTATCCAAGGGGTAGCTGGAAAATAGTTTCCCATTCTGCAGGTTGTCTATTTACTCTGTTGGTTGTTACCTTTGCTGTGCAGAAAATTTTAAATTTGGTATTATCCCATTTGTTGATTCTTGGTACTATTTCTAGTCAACTGGAATTCTGTTTTAGTAAGAACTTGCCAATGCCTATATGTTTAAGAGCTTTACCTATTTTATCTTCCAACAATTAAGTGTTTCTGTTTTAACACTTAGATATTAGATTAGCAAATGGTAAGAGAAATGAGTCTAGCTTTGGTCTTCTGCATATGGATAGCAAGTTTTCCCCACACCATATATTAGAGAGGTTATTTTTCCCCAGTGTATGTATTTGGTTTCTTTGTCAAAGATCAGATAGCTGAACATGCCTGCAGTTGTTTCTGCATCCTCTATCCTAGTCTGTCTATCCACATGTTTGTCTTTATGCCAGTATCATGCTGTTTTTTTAAAAAATAATTTATTTATTTTTATCACTGCAGCTTTGCAGTGTAACTTAAGCCCGGAATTGTGATACCTCCTGTTTTGCTCTTGTTGCCCAGGATTGCTTTTGCTATTCTGGGTCTCTTCTGGTTCAACATGAATTTTAGGTTTGTTTCCTCTGGTTCTGTGAGGAATGCTGTTGTTATTTTTTTGTGATTATGTTAAATCTGTAGATCAATTTTGGAAGTATGGTCATTTGGACAATATTTTTTCTGCCTATCTAGGAATAGCAGATATCTTTCCATTTTCTGATGTCCTCTTTGATCTCTTTTATCAGAGTACTGTAGTTTTCGTCATAGAGGTCTTTCACTTCCTTGATTAGGTTAATTTCTAAGAATTTATGCTATTGTGAATAATAGTGCTTTCCTAATTACTTCCTCAGTGAGTTCATTATTGGTGTAGAGGAATACTATTGACTTTTGTGTGTTGATTCTGTATTCTGCTGTTACTGAATTCAATTATTAAATCTAGAAATCTTTTGATGAAATTTTTTGAGTTCTGTATAAAGAATCATTTTATCTGTAAATAATGGTAATTTAAATTCTTCCTTTCCTATACATATCCTTTTTATTTCTTTTTCTTGCCAGATTGTTCTATTTAATATTTTGAGAACTTTATTGGCTAGGAGTGTTCTTTCATTCTATCTTTCCCTCTCATCTTCAACAGTTTCCTAGAGTTTGAGTGATCTTCCTGTGTCCTCTGGCTTTCTACCCCTATCCTTCTACCTATCTATCCCTCTCTTCCCAACTCCTGCTAAGTCCCATCCTGAAGGGGAAAGTTGCCATATTGAGGAGTTATTCACTATAAACATATTTTGGGTTGGCCCTTGATTTTTATTTAATTCACATATCAAAGTATTAACCCAGGAATTAAACCAAGGACGGTACCAACAATGAGAATAGAAATGAGAAAACATTTAAGCAAGGCATTTAATATGAAGTTTTAATATGGCAGTATGTTTGTGATAAACAGCTTTTTATTTTATTTTATTTTTTGGTTTTTTGAGACAGGGTCTCACTGTGTAGTTTAGACTGACCTAGAACTCACTATGTAGCCCAAACTGGTCTCGAACTCACAGCGGTCCTCCTGCCTCAGCTTCCCGAGTGCTGGGATTACAGGTGTGCGCCACCATGCCCGGCCAGTCATAAATAGCTTTAATCAGATTGAGCTAATGTCCTTTTATCCCTGTTTTTGTCAGGGGTTTTATCATGAATGGGTACTATATTTTGTCAAAGGCTTTT